TAATAGATTACTGCTCAGCAATAAAAGGGAATAAATTACCAATACATGCAACAACAGTGGATGAATCTCAAAGTCATTGTGCTAAGTGAAATAAGCGAGATTTAAAAGGCTACAAACTGTATGATTCCATTTATGTTATAGTCCGGAAATGGTAAAAATATAGGGAAAGAAAGTATATCAGTGGTTGCCAGGAATGGGGGTTGAGGTGAGGGGTTCACTACAAAGGAGAATGAGGGAATGTTTTGGTGTAATGGAAATGTATGTCCTGATTATGGTGATAGTTACACAACTGTACACATCTGTCAGAACTCATTAAGAAGGATGCATTTTATTGTATGAGAATTGTACCTCAAAAAGTGACTTTAAAAAAAACAGAACTCGGGCGCCTGGGTGGCTCAGTTGGTTGGGCTACTGCCTTCGGCTCAGGTCATGATCCTGGAGTCCCTGGATGGAGTCCCGCATCGGGCTCCCTGCTCAGCAGGGAGTCTGCTTCTCCCTCTGACCCTTCCCCCTCTCATGTGCTCTCTCTCATTCTCTCTCAAATAAATAAATAAAATCTTTAAAAAAAAAACAAAACAGAACTCAGGGTGTCTGGGCGGCGCAGTTGATTAAGTGTCTGACTCTTGATTTTAGCTAAGGTTGTGATCTCAGGGTCGTGAGATGGAGCCCTAAGACGGGCTCCGTGCTGGGAATTGAGCCTGCTTAAGATTTTCTCTCTTCCTCTCCCTCTGCCCCTCCCCCTTCCCTCTGCCCCCTGCCCCTCCCCCTTCCCTCTCCCTCTGCCCCTCCCCCTCTGAAAAAAATTTTAAAAATAAAAAACTTAAAAACCCGAACTCTACTCAGAATTGCTACTGAACAATACATATTGAATACTTTGTTAAAATCTTTCATGTAAATAAAACAATCATATATTTCTTTGAGGTTTTTTTCTCTTACAGCTATATGGTTGTTATTTTTACTATTTCTCCATTCTGTGCAGTTGACTTACATTCTAGAATATAAAAATAGAGACAGAAAATTCACTGTTAAATGGATGCATCTGATTAAATAAAATGATAAGAGTTTTAAAATGTTACCTATTGAGAAATACTTCTAGGATTTTTTTCTCTCATTGCTGATAGGGAAGAAAATTCTTATTCACAGAATAATGCCATAGAAAAGTCTCCATTTTTTTAAAAAGATTTTACTTATTTATTTGAGAGAGAGACTCAGAGAACGAGTGGGAGGAGTGGCAGAGGGAGAAGCAGACTCCCCACTGAGCAGGCAGTCCAATGTGGGACTCCATCCCAGGACCCTGGGATCATGACCTGAGACGAAGGCAGATGCTTAACAGACTGAGCCACCCAGGCGCGGAAGTCTTCATTTTCTACCCTCAATCCCCCTTTTTTGTTTTTTAGGTAAGGTCCTCACTTTATACTGAAAGGTTATCAGGTGCCTGGGTGGCTCAGTCGTTTAGCGTCTGCCTTTGGCTCAGGTCATAATCCCAGGGTCCTGGGATCGAACCCCACATCGGGCTCCTTGCTCAGCAGGGAAGCCTGCTTCTCCCTCTCCCACTCCCCCTGCTTGTGTTCCCTCTCTCGCTGTCTCTCTCTCTGTCAAAAATAAAGAAAAATCTGGGTGCCTGGGTGGCTCAGTTGGTTGAGCGACTGCCTTGGGCTCAGGTCATGATCCTGGAGTCCCGGGATCGAGTCCCTCATCGGGCTCCCTGCTCGGCAGGGAGTCTGCTTCTCCCTCTGACCCTCCCCCCTCTCATGTGCTCTCTCTCTCTCTCATTCTCTCTCTCAAATAAATAAATAAAATCTTTAAAAAAAAATAAAGAAAAATCTTTAAAAAAAAAAAGGTTATCATGATCCTTTACAGAACAAAAAGCATATCATCATTTGGTTAGCATTTGTTCTGAGTAACATTTATTCCAATATAAGTAAAGGAACTTTCTTGCAAAGTTTATTTAATATCAATTTGCATCTTAAAACTTCTTTAATTGTTGGTTGTTTTGGTTTTTTTTTTAGATTTATTTATTTATTTATTTATTTATTTATTTATTTATTTGACAGAGACAGAGATAGCGAGAGCAGGAACACAAGCAGCGGGAGTGGGAGAGGGAGAAGCAGGCTTCCCCTCGAGGAGGGAGCCCCATGTGGGATTCGATCCCAGAACCCTGGGATCATGACCTGAGCCGAAGGCAGACGCTTAACGACTGAGCCACCCAGGCGCCCAAAACTTCTTTAATTATTGTATAAAATGATAAATAATCTTCCTTTTACCCCTTTTCATCCCCACTCCCTCCCAATATAGCCTTGTAAATCTTCCTAGGCCAAATTTGAAAGAAAGCAAATAAAATTGGCACAACTTCTATGGAGGACAATTTGGCAATATCTATCAAAATTAACAATACCTTTTGATCTAAAGCTTCCAGTTGAAGAATTTATTGGTATCATTGCCCTTTGCGTGGTGTAATTAGTTATCAGTTGCTGCTTAGTTTGTGATATTGGCTTGGCAACAATCTAAATGTCCAGCCATGGGGATTGACTAAATATGATATTTGGATACAATGGAAAATTATACTGCCACTAGGAAGAATGAAGCAGTTCTTTATGTAGTGATATGTGATGATGTGTAGAAGCAGAAAAATGTTCACCTTTAGCCCAGAGAGGTGACCTATAGCCTGCATAGTTTAGATAAGGATCGAACAGGGGCTGACTGCTCCATTTTTAAAGGGTCTCATGACTGCCTGTAAATCTCACTGAAAATTAATATCCAGCCAAATGATAAGCACCAGAGAAATCTTCCAAAACTAATCTTACTAGTAGAAATTTGAGGAAGACGTTTATGATGTAATACTCCTTGCACGCCCTTGAGCTCTAAGCAGATCACCCCTGGCTTCATTCAACAAAAGTGCAGCTCCTTGCCCACAGCTCCTGTTCTCATGCTATAATAATAAGCACCTTTTTGCACCAAAAACGTCTCAAGAATCCCTGACCATTTGCTTGTGGCCCCACATCAATATGGAAAGATATCCAGGATATTTTAAGTGAAAAAAGGAAAGAACTTAACAGTATATATAGTATATTATCTTTCCTGTAAAAAGAAGTACAACTGTTTTTTTTTTTAATATTTTATTTATTTATTTGAGAAAGAACATAAGCTAGGGGAGGGAGGTAGAGGCAGGGAGCCCAACGCGGGGCCCAATCCCAGGACCCTGGGATCATGACCTGAGCCGAAGGCAGATTGCCAACCGACTGAGCCACCCAGGCACCCCTGTATAACTGTATTTTCATATTTATTGATAACATCTCTTGGGAGGGATACATTAGAACATGCATAAATATATGCTAAATGATTGCCTCCAGGACTATGGTAGCTGAAGGGCAGGGATGGGAGCAGGAATTCTTTTTCACTCTTATTTCGTCAGAGTGCTTTTTGAATTTTGCATTAGTATACTTCCTCATTTTATAGACATATAAAGATAAAATCTATACAGATATAGACAGTGAAGCTTAAAAAATAATAGGTGGTCAATTCAGAATTTTAAAAAGAAAAAAATTATATTTCTATTGATGTTGGTGAATTACCATTTGTTAGGGCTGATGAAAGCATTTTTTTTTTTTTTTTTTTTTTTGAGAGAGAGAATGAGATAGAGAGCATGAGAGGAGGGAGGTTCAGAGAGAGAAGCAGACTCCCTGCCGAGCAGGGAGCCCGATGCGGGACTCGATCCCGGGACTCCAGGATCATGACCTGAGCCGAAGGCAGTCGCTTAACCAACTGAGCCACCCAGGCACCCAGCATTTTCTTTTTTTTTAAAAAAAGATTTTATTTATTTATTTGAGAGAGAGCAAGGATGAGAGAGAGAGAGAGAGAGAGAGAGAGCGCGCGCGCGCAGGTGCACAAGCATGGGGGAGGGGTAGAAGGAGAAGAAGACTCCCTGCTGACCAGGGAGCCAGATGAGGGACTCTATCCCAGGACCCTGGGATCATGACCTGAGCAGAAAGCAGATGCTTAACAGACTGAGCCACCCAGGCACCTGATAAAAACATTTTCATACGCACATTCCTCATAATAGTTTATCACAAAGCTCCTCAAAAACCTTGAACCTTATCAAAAGCAATCTTCAAAATGCTTTCTTCAAAATTAGCAGAAAGTAAACAAAACAAGACAACACAGCTTCCTGAAGCTTCCTCACAGAAAGAAAACAGGCGAGAGGCAGGAGATTATAAAGTGTTTTTCAAATGATGAGCCAGAGGTAGTTTCTCTGAACAATTACCAAACTGGGTTCTATGAGACCCTTTGAAAATCCTGTCTGGTCTGTAACTATTATTTTACCCTCAATTAAATTATAGCTTGCCCTGACGGGCAGCATGTTAAGAGATGAAGGAAAGTGTTGAAAATGATATCCTGAAGAACAGTCTTAGTGGCAGAAAATGTTTCGATGACGAACAAAAAGGGCTGGCGAGGCTTCATGGGAGAAGCTCAAGGGAGGTTCCAAGCATCCTCCTGCAGTGAGTCCCTGGAGACTTCCTTTCTCTGCCGACCTGTTGAGGGCCGCTGGCCTCGGGGCACCGACGTCAGCACCGGGAAGCCGGTCTAGGGGGCTCTGGGTTCGGCCAGACCCCCGCCAGGGGCGGACGGCCTGACCCCCGTCACCTGAGCCCCAGAACCGGTCCATCCGGCTCGGCCCGTCCCCGCCCTTCCGAACCTCGGTAGCGGCTACGTGCACAGGAGGGTGTGATCTGCAGGCCCGGTCCTGCCCGACCGCCCTGCCCTGCGCGGCCGCGGGGCCCAGGAGCTCGGGCCCAGGCCACCGGGGCCGGTGCTCCGCCTGCCCGGGGTCGTCCGACCCGACAGCCGCGCACGTCACCGCCCCCGTGTCGCCTCCCGTCGCCGCAGGCCCCGCGGCCCCGCAGTCCCCCAGCTTTTCTGGCGGGGAGGGGCGAGGCGTCGCCACGTGACGCCTCGCCCCCGCCCGGCTCTGGTCACGTGGGTGGCACGGCCGCTGCGTCAGTCACAGTCCTGGCTGCGGGAGCCGAGTCGCCGTCGCCGCCGCCGCCTCCAGCGGACGGGGCGGGGATCCCGGTGCCAGGTCCTCGTCGGCCCGCCCCTGCCGCCTCAGTCGGCCGTCCCGGGCTGGGCCCGACCGTCATGGAGCGGGGCGGGACCTCCGCCTGTTCCGTGTGAGGCGCGTCGCCGCCGCCCCCGCCTGCGCCTTTCCAGCCCTCCCGAACCCCCGCCGCCGCCGCCCGGAGCCCCTCGCCCTTGGCAGCCTGTCGCCGCCCCCCTCCCCCCGGGCGGGCTCGTATGCGCGTCCGGTGAAGGTGCAGGCCCGGCGCCGCCGCTGCCGCAGCTGGGAGATGGTTCGGGCCTAGCGGAGCAGGGATTGGAGGTGAGACGGGCCGACGGAACTGACTGAGGGCCGGGCCGGGCCTGGCCGCCGGGTGGGGGTGGGGGAGACGGAGCACAGGGTCCGCCTGGGGGCTCGGGGAGACCTTCCAGGCCAGGGCTGCTCGATCCGGCTTCGCCCCGCTTCTTCCCGTTTCACCCCCCGCCCTCGGAAAAAATAAATAAATAAATAAATAAATAAGGCTAACCCATCCTAACAAATATTCCCAGAAATCCATCGTTTCGCCGTTTCTCCTTTCCGCTTTCGTTTCTTAATTCGTTCCTGCCCTCAGAAAATTTCCGTCGACTGATTTGTTACTTTTTAATACCCTCTTCAATTGGAAGTTATTTCTAGTTAAAGAGAAAATGGGCCTAGATTCTGGCTATCATTACCCAACTAGTTCTCGCTTTCCCTCTCGCGATCCTGCGCACGTCTCCCCCCCCCCCACCTTCTCTGCAAAAAAAAAAAAAAAAAGGAAAAAAATTTTCCACCTTCGTCTAGCGAAGGGGATTAACTAAAAATGAGAGGGTGGGGGGTGTAATACTTGAATGCCCCCCATAACTTCGCAATCGTTCTGTTATCCCGATAGCTCGTATTTGGACATTGATGTTTAGGCCTTTCCTCCAGCTTGCCTGTGCCCGGGGTTAATCTCGTAATTGACGTCAGTGCTTTGTTCCTTCCACTTTGCTGTTCCTTCCACTCTTTGAGGATGGATCATGGGGTATAGGACTTTGAGGAGTATCCTTATGGCTTTTTCTCTCACAATAGATATCATTTATAGGAAGTTGAAAGTACAAATCTGAAATGCTCGTGTGTGGAGTTCAAGTAAGACGAAGAGTTCGATTTAGGGTTCTCGTAGTCAGTTGCAATTCAGAATTGTACGATCTCTTTCCTGATGGCCTTATGGAAATTTTAACCTAAGGCCAGTCCCTTTTCCAGTGACCGGTATTTGTCTTGACGGAATCTAAGCTGTAGGTGTCTGTGAGTAAGATGTTTGTAAATGTGACGTTTTAAAATGTGTTGATTTTTTAGGACTCAGGTGTTAAAAGCTCAAAGCTTTGTTTCCATATTGATTCTGCAAAGCTTTGTAAAGTGCTTTTTTAAATTTAAGTGTACTTTGACATATCAAAATTGAAATATTTATGAGAATTTTCTTAATTTGGCATTTGATAAGGAGCCTTTGTGGCCTGCGAATCTGCTTGGAATCATCTTTGGTCATATGTGCATAAAGAAGTGTTGGCAAGTGGCCACTTGGTTTTTAACAAAGCTGGCTTCTTTAAATTTCTCAGGTTTATTTTCCTTATTCATCACTGCATCTTTCATTCTCTAAACATTAAAAAAAAAACCCTCAAGAAGTTATTTTTAATTATCTTTTAGAGTCACTACCTGGATGCAATATATGTATTTTTTTAATATCACCAGTTTCATTCAGTTTGTGGTGGCTTGCGTGCTGATGACTTTGGTTTTGTTAGCTCTGCAGGAACAGTAGGCAAATTCTACTTTAAAATTTTGCGTCAAGTGGGGACAAGATAGCATGTCTGTGAATGACCCAACCTTTACTGTCTGATAAAAAAAAAAAAAATCTTAGCTGTGTTAATTGGAAAGTGCTCTACAGTTTTGGGGTGTAAAGATGATTGTACAGTGCTTTGGTGAAGCTCTGTAATTAAGAATTCCTAAAGATATAATATTTTCATTCAGATTCACTTTCTACTTGTCAGATGACATATATTCTCTGTGTTCTTGAGTTATTGTATGCCGTTTGTAACAGTTGATACATTCTCCTTTTGTATTGTAATTTTCTTATAGGTCTCTTGTAGTGTGTTTAGAACACAAACTATATATCTCTCCATATCCTCCCCAGTATTTTACACAACTATTAGGTTGAATTTGAATATGATATCCAACCTAAATTTCACAAAATGGTAATCTAAAGAAAACTATGAGCAAGTGATCAGTATTTGAAGGGGAAAAAGTGACTGTCAGCTGCAGAAGATGACAGAAGATGAAGCCTTCTAAAAGTTGTTTATTTTACCTGTTTTGAAGAGTTAAGGTAAATGTCATGGCTTTATGTGTACCTGAGAGGAACAAAGAAAACAGGTATTTCTTCTTTTGTGGCCATCTACTGGTTTAGAATGGAGTCCAAAATGTACGAGGCCTTCTCTTCATAGTATTTTTCATAAAGTCTGAGAGGTGTTCTTATAAGTATTGAAGACATACCTGAACAATGATCCAGAAGTGCAGTGTGTACTATAAAAGTTGATGACTTAGGTTTTATTTTTTTATTTTATCTCTATTCTCCGGTAGCTTACTATTAAAACTTTCCTTGTGTCAACTATACTCAAAAAAAATTTTTTTAACTTTCCTATATAAGGTACAGGTTTCCCAGCTTTTGAACTCCCAGTCCTCATTATATTTTACTCATTTCCTTTTTCATTTCCTCTGATAAGTTGGAATGATTATGTTTGATTTCTGGGAGGGTGTGTGCCAGTCTTAGTTATTGTGAAATAAGGTGTAGTCAGTGATTAAAGACTGCTTAAAGCTAACCTCACTCTGCTGCTTTTTCCTTTGCTTTAAGAAAAGCACCCCTACTTGAAGTAAGTTTTTATACTCATCTAGATTGTTTGAAGTGATACTCTAGTACATGGAAGAGGATGTAATAAACATGACAGTTACTGAGTTTTGGCTGGTCATCTGCATTCCTGTTTGTCTTGATGTTCATTTTCACTAGCATCATATCCTAAGAATTTTAATGGTATTGGCATACAGAAAATATTAGAACCACTGAATTCATTTCCAAAATATTCCTGAAGCATTTTAACGTTGGGACTACTTATTAATTCTGTTTTTGAAGGAAAAAATATTAAACTCTACCTTCTTCAAATGGCTAAAATTCAAAACTCAAGAAACAAGTGTTGGTGAGGATATAGAGAAGGAGGAACCCTTGTGCGCTGTTGGTGGGAATGCAAACTGGTGTGGACACTGTGGAAGACAGTATTTCCTCAAAAAATTAAAGATAGAACTATCCTACAATCCAGAGATCGCACTACTGGGTATTTACCCAAAGAATTTGAAAACACTAATTCAGAGGGATATATATACCCCTATGTTTATTGCAGATTATTTGCAATAGCCAAACTATGGAAGCAGCCCACATATCCATTGATATACATATATATGTATGTGTGTGTATATATATATGCATATGTATTTATATCCATTCATATATATGTAGACGCACACATACACAATGGAATATTAGTCGGCCATAAAAAGGAATAAAATGTTGCCATTTGCTATTTGCAAGAACATGGATGGAGCTAGAGGGGATAATGCTAAGCGAAATAAGTCAGAGAAAGAAAATACCATCTGATTTCACTTACGTGGAAATTAAGAAGCAAAACAAATGAACAAAGGAAAGAAAAAAAAGACAAACCAAAAAACAGACTCTTAACTCTAGAGAATAAGCAGATGGTTACCAGAGGGGAGGTGAGTGGCAGGAATGGGTGAAATAGGTGAAGGGGATTAGGAATCCGCTTGCCTTTTTAAAACATTTTTATTTTAATTCTAGTATAGTTAACATATAGTGCACTGTGCAAGAGGAGTGCACTTGTCTTGATGAGCACCTGAGTGATGTATGGAACTGTTGGATCACCATATTGTATACCTGAAACTAATACAGCATTGTGTGTTAACTACAGTAGAATTAAAAAAAAAAAAAAAAAAAGAATTGGTAGATACAACTAAAAAATATCTACCTGCTTCATCAGCTATACTTTATTTAAAAATTTGTAACCTGAGGCATGTTCTGAGGGAAGGCATTTCATGTAACTTTACCTCGGTTGGAGTGCCAAATAAACCATGGTGGTGGCTTTTAGGTGGGTAGACAAAGCTTATTATTGGGTACTATTTTAAACTGATTTTTTTCGATTATTTCCTAGGATGGGTAAAAGAACCTTGTGCATTGTGTTTCCAAAGTTATGTGTGTGTGGTAGGGGAAATCAGGGATTGACATGGATAGATTGCCCTAGAAAGCCAGTATGGTTTTGCTACCAGTTACTGTCGTGACCTATCCTGGGACTGTGTTCCCTGGAGCTTAAGGGCTAAATGGCTGTCATGATTTTGTTGTTAGAGATGCCTAGTGGGTTATGATTTTTCACTTTGACTTCGCTTTTCTGCTCATTATGGTAACACCCGTTTTATGGAGAGGTGAGTATAAGCCAGTGCTCTGCATTGACAGGCCTTCCCACCTCTTTGCAGTTGCTTCCATTTCTTCCATCTGGAATATCACTTTTCCTTTCTTGTTCTCTACCTGTTAAAATTTCACTGTCTTTTAAGGCCCGGTGCAAATACTGTTGCCTTCCTAAAGTTTTGCTTGACTCCCCTCCCTACTCCTTTGGCACCTAGCACCTTTGAATCCCTGCATCACTCTGTTATCTCTCTTATTTGTTTTGTTAACTATGGGACCATAGCCTGCTGGGTGACATCCAGCACAGTGTATCAGGGAAGACATCTTAGTAAAATAAAGACTGTTTAATACTGTTTCAATATGTATTTCTTAAAGAATAAGGATTAAAATAATAATCCAACCTTTCACTGAGGAAATTAATACTAATTCCTTAGTATCATCATGTATCTAGTCAGTGTGCAAATTTCCCTGATTACAGTTTTTGTTTTAACAGTTTGTTTGAATTAGGAGCCAAATGAGATTGTATCTTTTTGTTCTTATTCGTGTTTCTATACATTTGTTAAAGAAGCCATGCCTTTGCCCTATGAGAATTCTCACCATCCAGATTGTGCTGATTACATCCCTGTGGTTTCATGTAATATGTTCCTCAGTCCCTTTTTTTCCTGTATATTAGTAGTTACATCTAGAAGCTTAATCTGATTGAGGCTTGAATTTTTATTTTTAAGTAAACTCTGTGCCCAACATTGAGCTTGACTTCAGGACCTTGAAATCAAGAGTCACATGCTCTACTAACTGAACCAGCCAGGCACCCTGAGGC